GATGCCAGGCCAGACTAACTGATTAAAGCCTAAACCAACTCAAAGTGGAGATGCTTCCCCTGCAAGGCAGATCTCTGATGAAGGACAACACATCCAAGGAAGAGTTCTGGTGGATCCCAAATGCAGCACAGCAGTGTCCACCCTCCAGATCCTCTCCTAAAGCCCTCTGATGGTTTTCCAGGTTCTCAACACAAGTTTGGGCCCTGTAATTAAAGTCATTATCCAAGAACCACCTCTCGAACCAAGCACAGCATCATAACCTGCAATACCCAGACAGCTCCCTGGGTCACTGGTCCCTTTCAGTCCCTGACCACCCCACAGGTTAGTAAGTGCCTGCACACAGAATTCAAAATTCAACATCCCCCCAGGCCACTCAGCCCTGACAAGTGGAAGCCAAGCAGCACTTTACCATATGGGGAAAATCCTTCCCACGTTCCAGTGCAGGCAACCAGCTCAGCTCTCATGCCCAAAAGTGGTTGTAGCACTTGCCAGGCACAAAAATAAAGGAAAAACAAAGCAGAAAATAGGCATCCTATCCTCATTCCTCCTTTTAGTCCCACTGTTTCCAGCTACTTCATCTGCCTTCTGTACTCAGACACCAAGATATTCCCACCCTTCACTAGATGACAGAACAACTGCTCTACACTCCCATCCTACAAGGAACAAACTTTTTTGGCTCCTCTTTCCACTGTTTGCCTTTTTAACCTAACCACTTCTTTTTCTCCTGTTTCACTACCCTGCTACAAAAACCAAAAGTTTTACAAATGATGAGGGGAAAGGTTCGATGTGTAAATCCTTCTTGGGATTTCAACAGCAATAGTCTTCCCAGAGAGAGCAGCAAGTTCCTGGGAATGAGGCAATACTACAGACAGGGATGGCTGTAATCCCAAGGACTGTACCTAAGGACTGACAGGAGTACAAAGGAACATCAACGAGTATTTGGAGCTTTCCCACCACACAAACACCGCAATGTATTAATCAAGTTCTAGATAGAAGTATTTCAATTCCCTCCTCTCCTACTGGAAGGAGTGGGAAGCCTCATCTCCAGCCTGAGCACTGAGTAATGTGTGCAGGATGATTTCCATACCTTTGTGTTCTTGTGCAAACGCTGTTTCAACTTAAACAGTTCAGACAGTCATTTCTGCCTTCCCTGTTGGTGGGGGGGTTAATATCAGCCAGAAAACCCACCACACACAGCACAAACACCATAAGCCAATTATTGTAATTAGAAAGAAATGTTCTTGTTAGTGACAGCTAACTTATAGCTGTTCACCCTTTTTTTTCTGATATTCTTCATGCCCCTCATTTTTAATGCAGATATTTGAATAGACAGTCTACCAGTTCAGCTTGATCCTAATGTTGGTTTTCCTTCCCCTTCCCAGTCAAACACTCAGGGAGCGAGGATTAGAACATAAGGTGTTTTGCTTATTACAAGACTGGACACAGACCTTCACATACAAACAGGAACCTGCTCAAAAAGCAGCTACAAATTAGGTGATTATTTAGGTGTGGCAAGGAAGTAGCCTAGTCTTATATCCTGGGATAAAGACTGAGACCTGATAGCACATGTAAATCTAATCCCGGAGGAGGGCCCTGCATTCAGAATCACTCTGAAATCAGAATCAACACTTGGTCTGTGAAGCCCTTTGCCAAGCACAGAAAACAGCCCAATCCAAGACTTTGTACCCAGCGAGCAGAGAACTGTCACCATGGGCTGCATCCACAGGGCCCAGCTGGGACTTGGGGCCAGTTCACCTGGACACCCCTTGGAGACAGCTGCATGTTTGCTTGGGAATCTGGCTCAGGGATGGTTATTTAGGGACAGGGAACGTTTCCAGAATCAATACTGTGATACTGTGGAAGAGATCTGATTACTAACTATCTGTCTGTTACGTAATAAGAGCTGTTTCCTAAAGTAAAGCTTTCTGGCAGGAATGGGCTGCATCTACATCTCTAAGAGCTAATCAGTGGAGCCCCAAAGCCCAACAGCTGCTGCTGAAAACAGCCTCTGTGGTCTCTGTGCTCTGCATTGTTTACTCCCAGTAGCTCCAGTCTGGACCACAAACACCCAGGAAGCAGTGGAAGCATCTTCCACTTTTGTCCCATTTGCTTCAGCTTTGTTTTTCCAGCCTCTAATTTTTATTTCACAGAATCCCAGAATCATTTGAGTTGGAAAAGACCTCCCAGACCACTGAGTCTACCCTGTGCCCCATCCCCACCTCAACACCCAGCCCAGAGCACTGAGTGCCACAGGCAGTCATTCCTTGGACACCTCTGGGGATGGGGACTCCACCATCTCCCTGGGCAGCCCCTGCCAGTGCCTGACCACCCTTTCCAGGGAGAAATTCCTCCCGATGTCCAACCTGACCCTCCCCTGGCACAGCTGGAGGCGGTTTCCTCTCACCCAGTCCCTTGTTCCCTGGGAGAAGAGCCTGACCTGTTCCTGTTTGCCCAGCTTGGCTGTGGTCTCCCACTCTCCCAAGGCCACCCAACAAGGCAGGGCCCAGAGGCTCCCAGGTGGGTGGCAGGAACAGGGACCAGCACCATCCTGCTCAGATCCTGCGCTCCCCTCAGCCGCGGGAGCACACCCACAATGACACAGCTGACCTCTGGAAAAGCACAGGTTCAAACTAACAACCACAAGGCCAAGAACATACAGTAGATTAGTTAATCTACACACCTAGACTATCAAAGCTCTGGGTTAGACCGAGGACAGCACAGGCCATAAAAAGGGACAATGACTCCCCAGGTCCCATTGCCAGCACCAGGGTATGAGGAAGCTGTTGCTTAACTGAGCTACTTGGAAACACCAAGCCCTGTTTTGAAACCATCCACGAGTGGAAGGAGAAAGTCATAAACACAAACTGATGGCAGAAAAAGCACGTTTCTCTTAAATATTTGCCAAAGCTTGCTGAGACTTGTGTGGAGACAAAGCAGGCAGCAGCAAGGAACCTGTAGGAGCTGTCCTTTGGGAAACTGCTCTGCATGAGTGGCCTCTGAACAGACCACATCCAGCCAGCTCTCTGTGTTCCCATCAGTGACAGTCACCAGGAAGAAGTGGAGCTCTAGGGAAAACACTCCATTATGCAGCAAGGCCTAGCTCACAAAGTTATTATTACCGTGCTTCTGTGCCCACACATAATTAAGCAAAATGAAGTGTAAATCCACATATACACAACCAAAGTAACACCAGAAATTACATACAAGGTGTGTGCTTAATTTTACATCATAGATGTGCCTACTCGAAACTTCCTCCAACACCAGACTAAGAAAATTGCTAATTGTCTAACGTTAAAATTAATAATATCCTGGGTGTTGCTATTATAGAAGAGGCAACACTGGAGTTTGCTTTAGCTATTAACGTGTAAAGATCCTGAAATATCAGACCAACTCTTTTACCAGCTCATTGAAGTCACTGCTCATCACTGAAAATTCCTGAGGAACTGTAACTATGACCGAGGGGAGGAAAATAGAAGTGTAAAAATGAGCAGGGAAGAGAAGAAAACACAACTAATTCTGAGTGGAGCCCCCGCTTCCAGCAGCAGGTGAGAGGAGCTGCTCACCTGTACTGCCTGTTTACAGTAAACAGCAGAGGAAGTTCAGCGGGCAATAAATCTGCCTGGCTTAAACTGGAGCTCTCCACATCCACATTTACACCTTTTCCCACAGTATCAGGCTTACAACCGTTTACTGATAGCTTAGTAGAGATAACAACTCAAAAAATTTAGGCCTTGCTACACTCTCACCCAGCAGCGGTCCCATGAGTACGTTCGGTGCAAGTAGTAAGTTAGTTTCATTTTCCAAAGTTCTGTACAACTACAGATATGCTATTTTTTTGCCCAGAATTCACATTTTTCCAGTAATAGGAGATGCTGTTTCTATCTCCTCCATCCAAGAAAGAAAATACAGTGAAAGAGCTCTGCAACCCCCCTTATTTGTTATATATAGATACCTGGAGGTGCTCAGGCAGCTGTCCATGGACAGGGAGACTCGGGGCTGGGTCGCTGTCTGTGGGACATTCTCAGGGAGCACAGGGACCACACGCACACGGGACAGCTGCCAGGGGCTCTTACACCACTTCCACAAAACTGCCACACACTCCTTTTTTTGGTCATTTTTTTTCCAACCAAAACCTTAAATAAAACAGTGGGAGGAGGCTGGGAGACTTGGGAGTGACAGCTGCTGTGTAAGATCATGGAATCATGGAATGGTTTGGGTTGGAAGGGACCTTAAAGCCCATCCAGTGCCACCCCCTGCCATGGGCAGGGACACCTTCCACCAGCCCAGGTTGCTCCAAGCCCCGTCCAACCTGGCCTGGGACACTCCCAGGGATCCAGGGGCAGCCACAGCTTCTCTGGGCAACCTGTGCCAGGGCCTCCACACCCGCGAACTGGGGAGGAATTTCTCCCCAACATCCCACCTACCCGCGCTGTTCTGCGAGCCTTACACACAGAACCGTAAAACCCCGGACTGGTTTGGGTGGGAACGGACCTTAAAGATGCTGCCGTCCCACCCCCTGCCACGGGCAGGGACACCTTTCCCTAGCCCAGGTTGCTCCAAGCCCCGTCCAGCCTGGCCTGGGCACTCCCTGGGCAGGGGCAGCTGCCGGGCCGGCAGGGTAAGGAGCGGAGCGGAGGCAGGAGGGATGCGGCTCATCTGCACTCACAATAAAGGCACCTCCGGGGCTTCCCCGCCTTCCACCCGCGTGTCCGGGCCGGCCCCGCTCCCTCCATCCCCCCGCGCCACCCCCGCGGCTCCGAACCCCGCTCGGAAATCCCCCCGAGAGCCACTTACCGCGGCAGCCCGCGGTCCCTGTGCGGGCGGCTGGGCGGCCGGCGGCAGCAGAAGTAGGGAGGGCGGCTCTCTGCCGCCCGCCCTCCGCCTGCAGCAGCCAGCCCGGCTCCCCCGAGCTCCGCCTCGAACACCGCGGGCACCTCCCCGCCCTGCCCTGCCCTGCCCGGGGCCGCCGGTGCGGCCTTGGCCCGCGGGGAGGGGCCCGGCGCGGCCTCCTCATCCCCGGCCTCGCGTGACGGGGGTCGCCGCCCATGGCGGCCCCTCCCCGGGGCTGCTCGGGCGGCCGCGCCGGAGGCCTCGGGCCCACGCGTGGGGCCCGGCGCTGCCACCCGCGCAGCTCCGCGTGGTCGGCAGCTGCCTGGGTGTCGCTTAAAGGCAGTAAACAACTGCAGGGGTTGGATTTCACGGCTTTTGCAAAGTCAGTGATATTCAGGCCACCGGTGATGGGAGCCGTGTTTATCCCGGGCACACAAGTGCTCTTAAAAGGGAGTAAGATCTCAAGTGGCAGCTGGAATTTTTAGGTGTTCAGGCTTAGAAGCCCTCAGCTGCAGAGAAAGGTTCGAAAATGAAAGGAAACTCACCAGAAAATGATCAATTGATGTTTGAGGTTATGGGTTTGGGATACGTTTTTTGTTTGGGTTTGAGGTACCGTGTTTTGTTTGGGGTTTTGTTTATTTCTTTGTTTGTTTTTTTGTTTGTTTGTTTTTCTCTTTTTGAGACATCGTGAGAAAGGAAGAAGAATTGGGGGGGAAAAAAGGGATTTGAATGCAATTTGTGGTGAATAATTGCAGCATGATCCAACACACACATGGTTCTACAAGTGAATGCCTACCCCATGTATGTGTTCTAACAAGTTCTGGGTGTGAATGCCTTCCCCATGTATGTGTCCTAATGTGGCACAAAATGTTATCATTTCATGCATTTTTAACAAATATTCAAAACTTGATCATAAGTTTGTTGGGAAAATCCTCTGCCCTCCCACCCCTCAAGGGTGTTGTCTACCCACATGAGGCTGTGCTGTCAATTTTAATTTATGGTCATTTCTTATTGACTCCAAACAAGGCAGTTTATTAGCACAAAATGTGTCTACAAGTGAACATTTTCTGCACCCAGCAAGCACTGCTGTGTCTCATCAGCTCTTCCATATCAGCAAAATCTTGAAGGGAGTAGAAAATGAGAACGTTGTACTACTCTCCTCATAAAGAGAAATCCAGGAGTGAGTGAAAACTTTATAAGGATCACATTTCCCCAGCAATCTCACTTTCCAGCAGAGGTTGTCCACATGTTCACAGTGCTGCTACCAATGAACAGGGATGGGCTCTTCTCTCCTCCCTCCATCAGGCCTCTGTTCAACTACTGCTGTCTTTTCATCTTAGTTACTTTTTACCTCTGTTTTTATCTTAGTTACTCATTGGCAAAGATTGGGCTTTATAAGTTTGCAAAGTGAAAGAATTTTACAAGGTTAAAAAAAAAAAAAAAAGAGATGCCTGAAAATACCGCAAAATTCATCCCTCTTGACTCTGCTTTTTATTTAATGCCTAGATGAAAATATTACCTCCTGAGTCTCCGTGTGTGTGGCTGAGTCCCCGGGACACCTGCCAAGACACGAATTTTAGATGCCCGAAATCATGTGCTCAGCAGGTGTAAATTGTGTGCAGGGAGAGTTCACCTTTTGTCCTGAACCCCAGAGGCAGTTTCTCTTCATTAGCAGGGGAAGATGGGGAAGGAGATTATCCTCGTTTCCTGACTGCATGCCAAAGTTATGTATCATAAGGAGAAAATCTGTTCATACATTCACAAATATGTTTGCTCCTAATCTGTCTTCAGGAAAGTGTCTCTGTGAGGAGCAAGGGGTGCTGATGATCGCAGGAGAGCTGAGGCAGAGGGACAGGAACAGATGCAGAATTTCTCTGCCAAGATTTTTTTCCAGTGGGATCCACGGTAGGTCCTCCCGTTGGAAAATAAAAGTACTTAGTCATGGCTGTGGTTAAACACTGAGATTGTTCCCATCTCAGGCTGCGGGTGTCAGGTGTCAGGTGTCAGTCGAAGTACAACCCTGTGGCTTCCCATGGGATGCTCAGTTTGCCAGTGAACCAGGAAGTGTTGCTGGTGTTTAATCGTTTCCCCTACATGCAACAGATAAATCCATCCACTGTGTGTCTGAGAATGAGCAAGGGGCTCCTTTTTCTATTAAAACTGCAGAATGTGTTATCATGTGTTATCATGTCTGCCTGTTTGCTGTTCCATCAAGATCCCACATCAGGGCTGAGCCACAGAAACAAATGCAAAAATTGCAGTTTTAAAAGAATAAGGTCATGGGGCACATTCTGTGTGGCAGAACAAACACCATCATTAATTGGCCTCTCCCTGCAATGGCAGCACAGGCAGGGAATGGAAGGAAGGGATGTGGAGTATCTCTGTTTTTGGGGCAAACAGCTGAGCTAGGTCTGATGGAAAACATGAATTTCCTTGGTGAAGAAAAGAAAGACAATATCTTTTAGAAAGCAGGGCTGCTTGGACTAGTCAAGAGTAGTTATTTTATCTTTAAACGTTTAAAGATCTTGGTTGTGGCAGGAAATATATATATAAAAAATCTATTAAATTTATTTCCTCTACATGTGCCAGAGTGAGAGATTATATTCAGCAAATGGACTGCAAAAGGCTCTTTGGAATTTGTGCTGTATTGTTTTTTATTCTGAGACAGTGACAGACCAAAACAAGTCCTGGTGAATATACACCTCTACTGTTTATCCAGGTATTGTCTCCATTGAGTCGATTAGGAAAACCTTAGAAAACCAGTTCAAAGATATACAATCACTTTGAAAACCCCAGCCTGATATCCCAGTGCATAATGACTAAAGAGAGGATTTGAGTCTCCTGTTCTCTTCCAGTGCCCATTTCCCTGGCATTGCCTGTCTGATGGTGTTCCTTTGGGACCATTTGGGTGGGATCTGGAATGAACATTTTCAGGGTGTCCGTGGGTTTATAATGAACAGCAACATCATCAATGGTTGTGTTGGGGGAAATTGTTTTAAATAACCATGTATATAATTGTCAATTTGGTTTTGGTGACCTTTAGTGATCCAGAACTGTTCCACTGGGAGAAAAGGGATATTGCAAAATCCCTGTGTTTCCCCTTGACTGGTATCTGAAACAATCAGCATTCCTGGATGTAAATGGCTCCTCTCAGTGTCCAAAGCCCATGGATGGGATATCTCACCCCATCTTCCTTTAGCACCGTTTTTGACCACACCAGCCGTCCTGCAGCTTCCCTGGAATTTCAGATCATACCTTTTCATCCACAGAAATACTTTTCCCTGCAGATTTAAATAATTAATTGGGACGTGCCTAGTGGGTCTTGAGCTAAACTTCAGGGAGGCAGCGGATACGTGTGACCAAGTGACCTTTTGCTGTCCTGCTCGTCCCCGCGCTCGCGCTGTGCTCAAAGGGACGCTGTCAAAATTGCTAGGCCTTAAAACTTTAACCCGCTCTGACAAGTTGTTCTACATTATAAGTCTTCCCTAAAAGATTACCACGATTGTTTTGTTTGTTTTGTTCCAACAATCTTTGCTGAAGGCTCCACAATACGGCTTCATTTGTCCTTTTGGGTAGGTGGATATTTTTAAATGCCCGGCTTATTCCGTGACCTGTTAAAATCAAGTTGATGTGCGTGTGCTCCACTCAGCGGAGAACTCGCCGGAGATGGAGCAATTCCTCTGCACTCTGGAAGAAGAGACAAGAGCACGCTCTGGAAGCCTTTATGAGGAGGCTTTAGAAGCCATTTTGAAAAGCCAGTCGTTATCCTTCAGTGTTCTGGAAGTCTGGACCGGACCTCCCAGGTGATATTAGGTAAGTGTTAGTGAAGCGTGGGTTGGTTCTTACAAAGAGGTTTGCTGTATGTCAGGGCACTTGGAGTTACTCCTCAGGCATAATTTCTAAGATCTCCACTCACAGAATCACAGGATCATTGAGGCTGGAAAAGACCTCCATGGATCCCCCCTGTGCTCCATCCCCACCTTGTCCCCCAGCCCAGAGCACTCAGTGCCACAGCCAGGCCTTCCTGGGACACCTCCAGGGATGGGCACTCCAAACCTCCCTGGGCAGCCCCTGCCAAGGCCTCACCACCCTTTCCAGGAGGAAATTCCTCCTGATGTCCAACCTGAGCCTCCCCTGGCACAGCCTGAGGCCGTTCCCTCTCCTCCTG